ATTACGATGGTGCAAGAGAAATTCCAGTAGGATTAGCGGAACATAGGTGAATTGATCGAAGCTGGGCTGAAACGGATTCCTACGTGCACGCTGATTCTTTGTCCAGAGGATAGTCACGGCCTGAGGATTACATTGGTGCAAGACAAATTCCAGTAGGATTAGCGGAACATAGGTGAATTGATCGAAACTGGGCTTAAGCGGCGTCCTATGGGGACCATTGTTTGTCCAGAGGATAGTCACGGCCTGATGATTAGATTGGTGCAAGAGAAATTCCAGTAGGATTAGCGGAACATAGGTGAATTGATCGAAACTGGGCTTAATCGGCGTCCTATGGGGACCATTGTTTGTCCAGAGGATAGTCACGGCCTGAGGATTACATTGGTGCAAGAGAAATTCCAGTATGATTAGCGGAACATAGGTGAATTGATCGAAACTGGTCTGAAACGGATTCCTACGTGCACGCTGATTCTTTGTCCAGAGGATAGTCACGGCCTGAGGAATAAATTGGTGCAAGATAAATTCCAGTAGGATTAGCGGAACATAGGTGAATTGATCGAAACTGGCTGAAACGGCGTCCTATGGGGACCATTGTTTGTCCAGAGGATAGTCACGGCCTGAGGATTACATTGGTGCAAGAGAAATTCCAGTAGGATTAGCGGAACATAGGTGAGTTGATCGAAACTGGGCTGAAACGGCGTCCTATGGGGACCATTGTTTGTCCAGAGGATAGTCACGGCCTGAGGAATAAATTGGTGCAAGAGCAATTCCAGGAGAATTAGCGGAACATAGGTGAATTGATCGAAACTGGGCTGAAACGGATTCCTACGTGCACGCTGATTCTCTGTCCAGAGGATAGTCACGGCCTGAGGATTAAATTGGTGCAAGAGCAACTCCAGGAGAATTAGCGGAACATAGGTGAATTGATCGAAACTGGGCTGAAACGGATTCCTACGTGCACGCTGATTCTTTGTCCAGAGGATAGTCACGGCCTGAGGATTACATTGGTGCAAGAGAAATTCCAGTAGGATTAGCGGAACATAGGTGAAATGATCGAAACTGGGCTGGAACGGCGTCCTATATGGACCATTGTTTGTCCAGAGGATAGTCACGGCCTGAGGATAACATTGGTGCAGGTGGAATTCCAGTAGGATTAGCGGAACATAGGTGAATTGATCGAAACTGGCTGAAACGGATTCCTACGTGCACGCTGATTCTTTGTCCAGAGGATAGTCACGGCCTGAGGATAACATTGGTGCAAGAGAAATTCCAGGAGAATTAGCGGAACATAGGTGAATTGATCGAAGCTGGGCTGAAACGGATTCCTACGTGCACGCTGATTCTTTGTCCAGAGGATAGTCACGGCCTGAGGATTACATTGGTGCAAGACAACTTCCAGTAGGATTAGCGGAACATAGGTGAATTGATCGAAACTGGGCTGAAACGGCGTCCTATGGGGACCATTGTTTGTCCAGAGGATAGTCACGGCCTGATGATTACGATGGTGCAAGAGAAATTCCAGTAGGATTAGCGGAACATAGGTGAATTGATCGAAGCTGGGCTGAAACGGATTCCTACGTGCACGCTGATTCTTTGTCCAGAGGATAGTCACGGCCTGAGGATTACATTGGTGCAAGACAAATTCCAGTAGGATTAGCGGAACATAGGTGAATTGATCGAAACTGGGCTTAAGCGGCGTCCTATGGTGACCATTGTTTGTCCAGAGGATAGTCACGGCCTGATGATTAGATTGGTGCAAGAGAAATTCCAGTAGGATTAGCGGAACATAGGTGAATTGATCGAAACTGGGCTTAATCGGCGTCCTATGGGGACCATTGTTTGTCCAGAGGATAGTCACGGCCTGAGGATTACATTGGTGCAAGAGAAATTCCAGTATGATTAGCGGAACATAGGTGAATTGATCGAAACTGGTCTGAAACGGATTCCTACGTGCACGCTGATTCTTTGTCCAGAGGATAGTCACGGCCTGAGGAATAAATTGGTGCAAGAGCAATTCCAGTAGGATTAGCGGAACATAGGTGAATTGATCGAAACTGAGCTTGAACGGCGTCCTATGTGGACCATTGTTTGTCCAGAGGATAGTCACGGCCTGAGGATTACATTGGTGCAAGATGAATTCCAGTAGGATTAGCGGAACATAGGTGAATTGATCGAAACTGGCTGAAACGGATTCCTACGTGCACGCTGATTCTTCGTCCAGAGGATAGCCACGGCCTGAGGATTAAATTGGTGCAAGATAAATTCCAGGAGAATTAGCGGAACATAGGTGAATTGATCGAAGCTGGGCTGAAACGGATTCCTACGTGCACGCTGATTCTTTGTCCAGAGGATAGTCACGGCCTGAGGATTACATTGGTGCAAGACAACTTCCAGTAGGATTAGCGGAACATAGGTGAGTTGATCGAAACTGGGCTGAAACGGCGTCCTATGGGGGGGGGGGACCATTGTTTGTCCAGACGATAGTCACGGCCTGATGATTACATTGGTGCAAGAGAAATTCCAGTAGGATTAGCGGAACATAGGTGAATTGATCGAAGCGGGGCTGAAACGGATTCCTACGTGCACGCTGATTCTTTGTCCAGAGGATAGTCACGGCCTGAGGATTAAATTGGTGCAAGACAAATTCCAATGGGTTAGCGGAACATAGGTGAATTGATCGAAACTGGGCTTAAGCGGCGTCCTATGGTGACCATTGTTTGTCCAGAGGATAGTCACGGCCTGAGGATTACATTGGTGCAAGAGAAATTCCAGTAGGATTAGCGGAACATAGGTGAATTGATCGAAACTGGGCTTAATCGGCGTCCTATGGGGACCATTGTCTGTCCAGAGGATAGTCACGGCCTGATGATTACATTGGTGCAAGAGACATTCCAGTATGATTAGCGGAACATAGGTGAATTGATCGAAACTGGGCTTAAACGGATTCCTACGTGCACGCTGATTCTTTGTCCAGAGGATAGTCACGGCCTGAGGATAACATTGGTGCAAGAGCAACTCCAGTAGGATTAGCGGAACATAGGTGAATTGATCGAAAGTTGGCTTAAATGGCGTCCTATGGGCGGGGGGGACCATTGTTTGTCCAGAGGATAGTCACGGCCTGAGGATTACATTGGTGCAAGATAAATTCCAGTAGGATTAGCGGAACATAGGTGAATTGATCGAAACGGAGCTGAAACGGATTCCTACGTGCACGCTGATTCTTTGTCCAGAGGATAGTCACGGCCTGAGGATAACATTGGTGCAAGAGAAATTCCAGTAGGATTAGCGGAACATAGGTGAATTGATCGAAACTGGGCTTAAGCGGCGTCCTATGGGGACCATTGTTTGTCCAGAGGATAGTCACGGCCTGAGGATTACATTGGTGCAAGAGAAATTCCAGTAGGATTAGCGGAACATAGGTGAATTGATCGAAACTGGGCTTAAACGGCGTCCTATGGGGACCATTGTTTGTCCAGAGGATAGTCACGGCCTGATGATTACATTGGTGCAAGAGAAATTCCAGTAGGATTAGCGGAACATAGGTGAATTGATCGAAACTGGTCTGAAACGGATTCCCACGCGCACGCTGATTCTTTGTCCAGAGGATAGTCACCGCCTGAGGATAACATTGGTGCAAGAGAATTTCCAGTAGGATTAGCGGAACATAGGTGAATTGATCGAAACTGGGCTTAAGCGGCGTCCTATGGTGACCATTGTTTGTCCAGAGGATAGTCACGGCCTGATGATTACATTGGTGCAAGAGAAATTCCAGTAGGATTAGCGGAACATAGGTGAATTGATCGAAGCTGGGCTGAAACGGATTCCCACGCGCACGCCGATTCTTTGTCCAGAGGATAGTCACGGCCTGAGGATTACATTGGTGCAAGAGAAATTCCAGGAGAATTAGCGTAACATAGGTGAATTGATCGAAACTGGTCTGAAACGGATTCCTACGTGCACGCTGATTCTTTGTCCAGAGGATAGTCACCGCCTGAGGATAACATTGGTGCAAGAGAATTTCCAGTAGGATTAGCGGAACAGAGTGAATTGATCGAAACTGGGCTTAAGCGGCGTCCTATGGTGACCATTGTTTGTCCAGAGGATAGTCACGGCCTGATGATTACATTGGTGCAAGAGAAATTCCAGGAGGATTAGCGGAACATAGGTGAATTGATCGTAACTGGGCTGAAACGGATTCCTACGTGAACGCTGATTCTTTGTCCAGAGGATAGTCACGGCCTGAGGAATACATTGGTGCAAGAGAAATTCCAGTAGGATTAGCGGAACATAGGTGAATTGATCGAAGCTGGGCTGAAACGGATTCCTACGTGCACGCTGATTCTTTGTCCAGAGGATAGTCACGGCCTGAGGATTAAATTGGTGCAAGAGAAATTCCAGTAGGATTAGCGGAACATAGGTGAATTGATCGAAACTGGGCTGAAACGGATTCCTACGTGCACGCTGATTCTTTGTCCAGAGGATAGTCACGGCCTGAGGATTAAATTGGTGCAAGAGCAATTCCAGGAGAATTAGCGGAACAAAGTTGAATTGATCGAAACTGGGCTGAAACGGATTCCTACGTGCACGCTGATTCTTTGTCCAGAGGATAGTCACGGCCTGAGGATTACATTGGTGCAAGAGAAATTCCAGGAGAATTAGCGGAACATAGGTGAATTGATCGAAACTGGTCTGAAACGGATTCCTACGTGCACGCTGATTCTTTGTCCAGAGGATAGTCACGGCCTGAGGATTACATTGGTGCAACAGAAATTGCAGGAGGATTAGCGGAACATAGGTGAATTGATCGAAACTGGGCTGAAACGGCGTCCTATGGGGACCATTGTTTGTCCAGAGGATAGTCACGGCCTGATGATTACATTGGTGCAAGAGAAATTCCAGTAGGATTAGCGGAACATAGGTGAATTGATCGTAACTGGGCTGAAACGGATTCCTACGTGCACGCTGATTCTTTGTCCAGAGGATCGTCAGGGCCTGAGGATTACATTGGTGCAAGAGAAATTCCAGTAGGATTAGCAGAAACATAGGTGAATTGATCGAAGCTGGGCTGAAACGGATTCCTACGTGCACGCTGATTCTTTGTCCAGAGGATAGTCGCGGCCTGAGGATTACATTGGTGCAAGAGAAATTCCAGTAGGATTAGCGGAACATAGGTGAATTGATCGAAACTGGTCTGAAACGGATTCCTACGTGCACGCTGATTCTTTGTCCAGAGGATAGTCACGGCTTGAGGATTAAATTGGTGCAAGAGCAATTCCAGGAGAATTAGCGGAACAAAGTTGAATTGATCGAAACTGGGCTGAAACGGATTCCTACGTGCACGCTGATTCTTTGTCCAGAGGATAGTCACGGCCTCAGGATTACATTGGTGCAAGAGCAATTCCAGTAGGATTAGCGGAACAAAGGTGAATTGATCGAAACTGGGCTGAAACGGATTCCTACGTGCACGCTGATTCTTTGTCCACAGGATAGTCACGGCCTGAGGATTACATTGGTGCCAGAGAAATTCCAGTAGGATTAGCGGAACATAGGTGAATTGATCGAAACTGGGCTTAAACGGCGTCCTATGGGGGGAGGGACCATTGTTTGTCCAGAGGATAGTCACGGCCTGAGGATTACATTGGTGCAAGAGAAATTCCAGGAGGATTAGCGGAACATAGGTGAATTGATCGAAACTGGGCTGAAACGGCGTCCTATGGGGACCATTGTCTGTCCAGAGGATAGTCACGGCCTGAGGATTACATTGGTGCAAGAGAAATTCCAGTAGGATTAGCGGAACATAGGTGAATTGATCGAAACTGGGCTGAAACGGCGTCCTATGGGGACCATTGTTTGTCCAGAGGATAGTCACCGCCTGAGGATTACATTGGTGCAAGAGAAATTCCAGTAGGATTAGCGGAACATAGGTGAATTGATCGAAACTGGGCTTCAACGGCGTCCTATGGGGACCATTGTCTGTCCAGAGGATAGTCACGGCCTGAGGATTAGATTGGTGCAAGAGAAATTCCAGTAGGATTAGCGGAACATAGGTGAATTGATCGAAACTGGTCTGAAACGGATTCCTACGTGCACGCTGATTCTTTGTCCAGAGGATAGTCACGGCCTGAGGAATAAATTGGTGCAAGAGCAATTCCAGTAGGATTAGCGGAACATAGGTGAATTGATCGAAACTGGTCTGAAACGGATTCCTACGTGCACGCTGATTCTTTGTCCAGAGGATAGTCACGGCCTGAGGATTACATTGGTGCCAGAGAAATTCCAGGAGGATTAGCGGAACATAGGTGAATTGATCGAAACTGGTCTGAAACGGATTCCTACGTGCACGCTGATTCTTTGTCCAGAGGATAGTCACGGCCTGAGGAATAAATTGGTGCAAGAGCAATTCCAGTAGGATTAGCGGAACATAGGTGAATTGATCGAAACTGGGCTGAAATGGCGTCCTATGGGGACCATTGTTTGTCCAGAGGATAGTCACGGCCTGAGGATTAGATTGGTGCAAGAGAAATTCCAGTAGGATTAGCGGAACATAGGTGAATTGATCGAAACTGGTCTGAAACGGATTCCTACGTGCACGCTGATTCTTTGTCCAAAGGATAGTCACGGCCTGAGGATTACATTGGTGCAAGATAAATTCCAGTAGGATTAGCGGAACATAGGTGAATTGATCGAAGCTGGGCTGAAACGGATTCCTACGTGCACGCTGGTTCTTTGTCCAGAGGATAGTCACGGCCCGAGGATAACATTGGTGCAAGAGAAATTCCAGTAGGATTAGCGGAACATAGGTGAATTGATCGAAACTGGTCTGAAACGGATTCCTACGTGCACGCTGATTCTTTGTCCAGAGGATAGTCACGGCCTGAGGAATAAATTGGTGCAAGAGCAATTCCAGTAGGATTAGCGGAACATAGGTGAATTGATCGAAACTGGTCTGAAACGGATTCCTACGTGCACGCTGATTCTTTGTCCAGAGGATAGTCACGGCCTGAGGATTACATTGGTGCCAGAGAAATTCCAGGAGGATTAGCGGAACATAGGTGAATTGATCGAAACTGGTCTGAAACGGATTCCTACGTGCACGCTGATTCTTTGTCCAGAGGATAGTCACGGCCTGAGGAATAAATTGGTGCAAGAGCAATTCCAGTAGGATTAGCGGAACATAGGTGAATTGATCGAAACTGGGCTGAAATGGCGTCCTATGGGGACCATTGTTTGTCCAGAGGATAGTCACGGCCTGAGGATTAGATTGGTGCAAGAGAAATTCCAGTAGGATTAGCGGAACATAGGTGAATTGATCGAAACTGGTCTGAAACGGATTCCTACGTGCACGCTGATTCTTTGTCCAGAGGATAGTCACGGCCTGAGGATAACATTGGTGCAAGAGAAATTCCAGTAGGATTAGCGTAACATAGGTGAGTTGATCGAAACTGGGCTGAAACGGCGTCCTATGGGGACCATTGTTTGTCCAGAGGATAGTCACGGCCTGAGGATTACATTGGTGCAAGAGAAATTCCAGTGGGATTAGCGGAACATAGGTGAATTGATCGAAGCTGGGCTGAAACGGATTCCTACGTGCACGCTGATTCTTTGTCCAGAGGATAGTCACGGCCTGATGATTACATTGGTGCAAGAGAAATTCCAGTAGGATTAGCGGAACATAGGTGAATTGATCGAAAGTGGGCCTAAACGGCGTCCTATGGGGGGAGGGACCATTGTTTGTCCAGAGGATAATCACGGCCTGAGGATTACATTGGTGCAAGAGAAATTCCAGTAGGATTAGCGGAACATAGGTGAATTGATCGAAACTGGTCTGAAACGGATTCCTACGTGCACGCTGATTCTTTGTCCAGAGGATAGTCACGGCCTGAGGATAACAATGGTGCAAGAGAAATTCCAGTAGGATTAGCGGAACATAGGTGAATTGATCGAAACTGGGCTTAAGCGGGGTCCTATGGGGACCATTGTTTGTCCAGAGGATAGTCACGGCCTGATGATTAGATTGGTGCAAGAGAAATTCCAGTAGGATTAGCGGAACATAGGTGAATTGATCGAAACTGGTCTGAAACGGATTCCTACGTGCACGCTGATTCTTTGTCCAGAGGATAGTCACGGCTTTAGGATTACATTGGTGCAGGTGAAATTCCAGTAGGATTAGCGGAACATATGTGAATTGATCGAAACTGGGCATAAACGGCGTCCTATGGGGACCATTGTTTGTCCAGAGGAGAGTCACGGCCTGATGATTACATTGGTGCAAGAGAAATTCCAGGAGGATTAGCGGAACATAGGTGAATTGATCGAAACTGGGCTGAAACGGATTCCTACGCGCACGCCGATTCATTGTCCAGACGATATTCACGGCCTGAGGATTACATTGGTGCAAGATAAGTTCCAGTAGGATTAGCGGAACATAGGTGAATTGATCGAAGCTGGGCTGAAACGGATTCCTACGTGCACGCTGATTCTTTGTCCAGAGGATAGTCACGGCCTGAGGATTACATTGGTGCAAGAGAAATTCCAGGAGGATTAGCGGAACATAGGTGAATTGATCGAAGCTGGGCTTAAGCGGCGTCCTATGGGGACCATTGTTTGTCCAGAGGATAGTCACGGCCTGAGGATTACATTGGTGCAAGAGAAATTCCAGTAGGATTAGCGGAACATAGGTGAGTTGATCGAAACTGGGCTGAAACGGCGTCCTATGGGGACCATTGTTTGTCCAGAGGATAGTCACGGCCTGAGGATTACATTGGTGCAAGAGAAATTCCAGTAGGATTAGCGGAACATAGGTGAATTGATCGAAACTGGTCTGAAACGGATTCCTACGTGCACGCTGATTCTTTGTCCAGAGGATAGTCACGGCCTGAGGATTACATTGGTGCACGTGAAATTCCAGTAGGATTAGCGGAACATAGGTGAATTGATCGAAACTGGGCTGAAACGGCGTCCTATGGGGGGGGGGACCATTGTTTGTCCGGAGGATAGTCACGGCCTGAGGATTACATTGGTGCAAGATAAATTCCAGTAGGATTAGCGGAACATAGGTGAATTGATCGAAACTGGGCTGAAACGGATTCCCACGCGCACGCCGATTCTTTGTCCAAAGGATAGTCACGGCCTGAGGATTACATTGGTGCAAGAGAAATTCCAGTAGGATTAGCGGAACATAGGTGAATTGATCGAAACAGGGCTGAAACGGATTCCTACGTGCACGCTGATTCTTTGTCCAGAGGATAGTCACGGCCTGAGTATAACATTGGTGCAGGAGAAATTCCAGTATGATTAGCGGAACATAGGTGAATTGATCGAAACTGGGCTTAAGCGGCGTCCTATGGTGACCATTGTTTGTCCAGAGGATAGTCACGGCCTGAGGATTACATTGGTGCAAGAGAAATTCCAGTAGGATTAGCGGAACATAGGTGAATTGATCGAAACTGGTCTGAAACGGATTCCTACGTGCACGCTGATTCTTTGTCCAGAGGATAGTCACGGCCTGAGGATAACAATGGTGCAAGAGAAATTCCAGTAGGATTAGCGGAACATAGGTGAATTGATCGAAAGTGGGCCTAAACGGCGTCCTATGGGGGGAGGGACCATTGTTTGTCCAGAGGATAATCACGGCCTGAGGATTACATTGGTGCAAGAGAAATTCCAGTAGGATTAGCGGAACATAGGTGAATTGATCGAAACTGGTCTGAAACGGATTCCTACGTGCACGCTGATTCTTTGTCCAGAGGATAGTCACGGCCTGAGGATAACAATGGTGCAAGAGAAATTCCAGTAGGATTAGCGGAACATAGGTGAATTGATCGAAACTGGGCTTAAGCGGGGTCCTATGGGGACCATTGTTTGTCCAGAGGATAGTCACGGCCTGATGATTAGATTGGTGCAAGAGAAATTCCAGTAGGATTAGCGGAACATAGGTGAATTGATCGAAACTGGTCTGAAACGGATTCCTACGTGCACGCTGATTCTTTGTCCAGAGGATAGTCACGGCTTTAGGATTACATTGGTGCAGGTGAAATTCCAGTAGGATTAGCGGAACATAGGTGAATTGATCGAAACTGGGCATAAACGGCGTCCTATGGGGACCATTGTTTGTCCAGAGGAGAGTCACGGCCTGATGATTACATTGGTGCAAGAGAAATTCCAGGAGGATTAGCGGAACATAGGTGAATTGATCGAAACTGGGCTGAAACGGATTCCTACGCGCACGCCGATTCATTGTCCAGACGATATTCACGGCCTGAGGATTACATTGGTGCAAGATAAGTTCCAGTAGGATTAGCGGAACATAGGTGAATTGATCGAAGCTGGGCTGAAACGGATTCCTACGTGCACGCTGATTCTTTGTCCAGAGGATAGTCACGGCCTGAGGATTACATTGGTGCAAGAGAAATTCCAGGAGGATTAGCGGAACATAGGTGAATTGATCGAAGCTGGGCTTAAGCGGCGTCCTATGGGGACCATTGTTTGTCCAGAGGATAGTCACGGCCTGAGGATTACATTGGTGCAAGAGAAATTCCAGTAGGATTAGCGGAACATAGGTGAGTTGATCGAAACTGGGCTGAAACGGCGTCCTATGGGGACCATTGTTTGTCCAGAGGATAGTCACGGCCTGAGGATTACATTGGTGCAAGAGAAATTCCAGTAGGATTAGCGGAACATAGGTGAATTGATCGAAACTGGTCTGAAACGGATTCCTACGTGCACGCTGATTCTTTGTCCAGAGGATAGTCACGGCCTGAGGATTACATTGGTGCACGTGAAATTCCAGTAGGATTAGCGGAACATAGGTGAATTGATCGAAACTGGGCTGAAACGGCGTCCTATGGGGGGGGGGACCATTGTTTGTCCGGAGGATAGTCACGGCCTGAGGATTACATTGGTGCAAGATAAATTCCAGTAGGATTAGCGGAACATAGGTGAATTGATCGAAACTGGGCTGAAACGGATTCCCACGCGCACGCCGATTCTTTGTCCAAAGGATAGTCACGGCCTGAGGATTACATTGGTGCAAGAGAAATACCAGTAGGATTAGCGGAACATAGGTGAATTGATCGAAACAGGGCTGAAACGGATTCCTACGTGCACGCTGATTCTTTGTCCAGAGGATAGTCACGGCCTGAGTATAACATTGGTGCAGGAGAAATTCCAGTATGATTAGCGGAACATAGGTGAATTGATCGAAACTGGGCTTAAGCGGCGTCCTATGGTGACCATTGTTTGTCCAGAGGATAGTCACGGCCTGAGGATTACATTGGTGCAAGAGAAATTCCAGTAGGATTAGCGGAACATAGGTGAATTGATCGAAACTGGTCTGAAACGGATTCCTACGTGAACGCTGATTCTTTGTCCAGAGGATAGTCACGGCCTGAGGATTACATTGGTGCAAGAGGAATTCCAGTAGGATTAGCGGAACATAGGTGAATTGATCGAAACTGGGCTTAAACGGCGTCCTATGGTGACCATTGTTTGTCCAGAGGATAGTCACGGCCTGATGATTACATTGGTGCAAGAGAAATTCCAGTAGGATTAGCGGAACATAGGTGAATTGATCGAAACAGGGCTGAAACGGATTCCTACGTGCACGCTGATTCTTTGTCCAGAGGATAGTCACGGCCTGAGGATTACATTGGTGCAAGAGAAATTCCAGTAGGAATAGCGGAACATAGGTGAATTGATCGAAACTGGTCTGAAACGGATTCCTACGTGCACGCTGATTCTTTGTCCAGAGGATAGTCACGGCCTGAGGATTACATTGGTGCAAGAGAAATTCCAGTAGGATTAGCGGAACATAGGTGAATTGATCGAAAGTGGGCTTAAACGGCGTCCTATGGGGGGGGACCATTGTTTGTCCAGAGGATAGTCACGGCCTGAGGATTACATTGGTGCAAGAGAAATTCCAGTAGGATTAGCGGAACATAGGTTAATTGATCGAAAGTGGGCTTAAACGGCGTCCTATGGGGGGGGGACCATTGTTTGTCCAGAGGATAGTCACGGCCTGAGGATTACATTGGTGCAAGAGAAATTCCAGGAGGATTAGCGGAACATAGGTGAATTGATCGAAGCTGGGCTGAAACGGATTCCTACGTGCACGCTGATTCTTTGTCCAGAGGATAGTCACGGCCTGAGGATTACATTGGTGCAAGAGAAATTCCAGTAGGATTAGCGGAACATAGGTGAATTGATCGAAACTGGGCTGAAACGGATTCATACGTGAACGCTGATTCTTTGTCCAGAGGATAGTCACGGCCTGAGGATTATATTGGTGCAAGAGGAATTCCAGTAGGATTAGCGGAACATAGGTGAATTGATCGAAACTGGGCTTAAACGGCGTCCTATGGTGACCATTGTTTGTCCAGAGGATAGTCACGGCCTGATGATTACATTGGTGCAAGAGAAATTCCAGTAGGATTAGCGGAACATAGGTGAATTGATCGAAACTGGTCTGAAACGGATTCCTACGTGCACGCTGATTCTTTGTCCAGAGGATAGTCACGGCCTGAGGATTACATTGGTGCAAGAGAAATTCCAGTAGGATTAGCGGAACATAGGTGAATTGATCGAAACTGGTCTGAAACGGATTCCTACGTGCACGCTGATTCTTTGTCCAGAGGATAGTCACGGCCTGAGGATTACATTGGTGCAAGACAACTTCCAGTAGGATTAGCGGAACATAGGTGAATTGATCGAAAGTGGGCTTAAACGGCGTCCTATGGGGGGGGGACCATTGTTTGTCCAGAGGATAGTCACGGCCTGAGGATTACATTGGTGCAAGAGAAATTCCAGTAGGATTAGCGGAACATAGGTAAATTGATCGAAAGTGGGCTTAAACGGCGTCCTATGGGGGGGGGGGGACCATTGTTTGTCCAGAGGATAGTCACGGCCTGAGGATTACATTGGTGCAAGAGAAATTCCAGGAGGATTAGCGGAACATAGGTGAATTGATCGAAGCTGGGCTGAAACGGATTCCTACGTGCACGCTGATTCTTTGTCCAGAGGATAGTCACGGCCTGAGGATTACATTGGTGCAGGTGGAATTCCAGGAGGATTAGCGGAACATAGGTGAATTGATCGAAACTGGGCTGAAACGGCGTCCTATGGGGACCATTGTTTGTCCAGAGGATAGTCACGGCCTGAGGATTACATTGGTGCAAGAGAAATTCCAGTATGATTAGCGGAACATAGGTGGATTGATCGAAACTGGGCTTAAACTTCCTCCTATAGTTGAGGACCATTGTTTGTCCAGAGGATAGTCACGGCCTGAGGATTACATTGGTGCAAGAGAAATTCCAGTAGGATTAGCGGAACATAGGTGAATTGATCGAAACTGGCTGAAACGGCGTCCTATGGGGACCATTGTTTGTCCAGAGGATAGTCACGGCCTGAGGATTACATTGGTGCAAGAGAAATTCCAGTAGGATTAGCGGAACATAGGTGAATTGATCGAAACTGGTCTGAAACGGATTCCTACGTGAACGCTGATTCTTTGTCCAGAGGATAGTCACGGCCTGAGGATTACATTGGTGCAAGAGGAATTCCAGTAGGATTAGCGGAACATAGGTGAATTGATCGAAACTGGGCTTAAACGGCGTCCTATGGTGACCATTGTTTGTCCAGAGGATAGTCACGGCCTGATGATTACATTGGTGCAAGAGAAATTCCAGTAGGATTAGCGGAACATAGGTGAATTGATCGAAACAGGGCTGAAACGGATTCCTACGTGCACGCTGATTCTTTGTCCAGAGGATAGTCACGGCCTGAGGATTACATTGGTGCAAGAGAAATTCCAGTAGGATTAGCGGAACATAGGTGAATTGATCGAAACTGGTCTGAAACGGATTCCTACGTGCACGCTGATTCTTTGTCCAGAGGATAGTCACGGCCTGAGGATTACATTGGTGCAAGACAACTTCCAGTAGGATTAGCGGAACATAGGTGAATTGATCGAAAGTGGGCTTAAACGGCGTCCTATGCGGGGGGACCATTGTTTGTCCAGAGGATAGTCACGGCCTGAGGATTACATTGGTGCAAGAGAAATTCCAGTAGGATTAGCGGAACATAGGTTAATTGATCGAAACTGGCTTAAACGGCGTCCTATGGGGGTGGGGACCATTGTTTGTCCAGAGGATAGTCACGGCCTGAGGATTACATTGGTGCAAGAGAAATTCCAGGAGGATTAGCGGAACATAGGTGAATTGATCGAAGCTGGGCTGAAACGGATTCCTACGTGCACGCTGATTCTTTGTCCAGAGGATAGTCACGGCCTGAGGATTACATTGGTGCAAGAGAAATTCCAGTAGGATTAGCGGAACATAGGTGAATTGATCGAAACTGGTCTGAAACGGATTCCTACGTGAACGCTGATTCTTTGTCCAGAGGATAGTCACGGCCTGAGGATTACATTGGTGCAAGACAAATTCCAGTAGGATTAGCGGAACATAGGTGAATTGATCGAAACTGGGCTTAAACGGCGTCCTATGGTGACCATTGTTTGTCCAGAGGATAGTCACGGCCTGATGATTACATTGGTGCAAGAGAAATTCCAGTAGGATTAGCGGAACATAGGTGAATTGATCGAAACAGGGCTGAAACGGATTCCTACGTGCACGCTGATTCTTTGTCCAGAGGATAGTCACGGCCTGAGGATTACATTGGTGCAAGAGAAATTCCAGTAGGATTAGCGGAACATAGGTGAATTGATCGAAACTGGTCTGAAACGGATTCCTACGTGCACGCTGATTCTTTGTCCAGAGGATAGTCACGGCCTGAGGATTACATTGGTGCAAGACAACTTCCAGTAGGATTAGCGGAACATAGGTGAATTGATCGAAAGTGGGCTTAAACGGCGTCCTATGCGGGGGGACCATTGTTTGTCCAGAGGATAGTCACGGCCTGAGGATTACATTGGTGCAAGAGAAATTCCAGTAGGATTAGCGGAACATAGGTGAATTGATCGAAAGTGGGCTTAAACGGCGTCCTATGGGGGGGGGGGGGACCATTGTTTGTCCAGAGGATAGTCACGGCCTGAGGATTACATTGGTGCAAGAGAAATTCCAGGAGGATTAGCGGAACATAGGTGAATTGATCGAAGCTGGGCTGAAACGGATTCCTACGTGCACGCTGATTCTTTGTCCAGAGGATAGTCACGGCCTGAGGATTACATTGGTGCAAGAGAAATTCCAGTAGGATTAGCGGAACATAGGTGAACTGATCGAAACTGGGCTGAAACGGCGTCCTATGGTGACCATTGTTTGTCCAGAGGATAGTCACGGCCTGAGGATTACATTGGTGCAAGAGAAATTCCAGTAGGATTAGCGGAACATAGGTGAATTGATCGAAACTGGGCTTAAACTTCCTCCTATAGTTGAGGACCATTGTTTGTCCAGAGGATAGTCACGGCCTGATGATTACATTGGTGCAAGAGAAATTCCAGTAGGATTAGCGGAACATAGGTTAATTGATCGAAACTGGCTGAAACGGCGTCCTATGGGGACCATTGTTTGTCCAGAGGATAGTCACGGCCTGAGGATTACATTGGTGCAAGAGAAATTCCAGTAGGATTAGCGGAACATAGGTGAATTGATCGAAACTGGTCTGAAACGGATTCCTACGTGCACGCTGATTCTTTGTCCAGAGGATAGTCACGGCCTGAGGATTACATTGGTGCAAGAGGAATTCCAGTAGGATTAGCGGAACATAGGTGAATTGATCGAAACTGGGCTTAAACGGCGTCCTATGATGACCATTGTTTGTCCAGAGGATAGTCACGGCCTGATGATTACATTGGTGCAAGAGAAATTCCAGTAGGATTAGCGGAACATAGGTGAATTGATCGAAACAGGGCTGAAACGGATTCCTACGTGCACGCTGATTCTTTGTCCAGAGGATAGTCACGGCCTGAGGAATACATTGGTGCAAGAGAAATTCCAGTAGGATTAGCGGAACATAGGTGAATTGATCGAAACTGGTCTGAAACGGATTCCTACGTGCACGCTGATTCTTTGTCCAGAGGATAGTCACGGCCTGAGGATTACATTGGTGCAAGAGAAATTCCAGTAGGATTAGCGGAACATAGGTGAATTGATCGAAAGTGGGCTTAAACGGCGTCCTATGGGGGGGGACCATTGTTTGTCCAGAGGATAGTCACGGCCTGAGGATTACATTGGTGCAAGAGAAATTCCAGTAGGATTAGCGGAACATAGGTTAATTGATCGAAAGTGGGCTTAAACGGCGTCCTATGGGGGGGGGGACCATTGTTTGTCCAGAGGATAGTCACGGCCTGAGGATTACATTGGTGCAAGAGAAATTCCAGGAGGATTAGCGGAACATAGGTGAATTGATCGAAGCTGGGCTGAAACGGATTCCTACGTGCACGCTGATTCTTTGTCCAGAGGATAGTCACGGCCTGAGGATTACATTGGTGCAAGAGAAATTCCAGTAGGATTAGCGGAACATAGGTGAACTGATCGAAACTGGGCTTAAACGGCGTCCTATGGGGACCATTGTTTGTCCAGAGGATAGTCACGGCCTGAGGATTACATTGGTGCAAGAGAAATTCCAGTATGATTAGCGGAACATAGGTGGATTGATCGAAACTGGGCTTAAACTTCCTCCTATAGTTGAGGACCATTGTTTGTCCAGAGGATAGTCACGGCCTGAGGATTACATTGGTGCAAGAGAAATTCCAGTAGGATTAGCGGAACATAGGTGAATTGATCGAAACTGGCTGAAACGGCGTCCTATGGGGACCATTGTTTGTCCAGAGGATAGTCACGGCCTGAGGATTACATTGGTGCAAGAGAAATTCCAGTAGGATTAGCGGAACATAGGTGAATTGATCGTAACTGGGCTGAAACGGATTCCTACGTGCACGCTGATTCTTTGTCCAGAGGATAGTCACGGCCTGAGGATTACATTGGTGCAAGAGAAATTCCAGTAGGATTAGCGGAACATAGGTGAATTGATCGAAACTGGTCTGAAACGGATTCCTACGTGCACGCTGATCCTTTGTCCAGAGGATAGTCACGGCCCGAGGTTAACATTTGTGCAGGACATTTACAAGTATGATTAGCGGAACATAGGTGAATTGATCGAAACTGGGCTGAAACGGCGTCCTATGGGGACCATTGTTTGTCCAGAGGATAGTCACGGCCTGATGATTACATTGGTGCAAGAGAAATTCCAGTAGGATTAGCGGAACATAGGTGAATTGATCGAAACTGGTCTGAAACGGATTCCTACATGCACGCTGATTCTTTGTCCAGAGGATAGTCACGGCCTGAGGATTACATTGGTGCAAGAGAAATTCCAGGAGGATTAGCGGAACATAGGTGAAATGATCGAAGCTGGGCTTAAACGGCGTCCTATGGGGACCATTGTTTGTCCAGAGGATAGTCACGGCCTGAGGATTACATTGGTGTAAGAGAAATTCCAGGAGGATTAGCGGAACATAGGTGAATTGATCGAAACTGGCTGAAACGGCGTCCTATTGGGACCATTGTTTGTCCAGAAGATAGTCACGGCCTGAGGAATAAATTGGTGCAAGAGAAATTCCAGTAGGATTAGCGGAACATAGGTGAATTGATCGAAACTGGGCTTAAACGGATTCCTACGTGCACGCTGATTCTTTGTTTAGAGGATAGTCACGGCCTGAAGATTACATTGGTGCAAGAGCAATTCCAGTAGGATTAGCGGAACATAGGTGAATTAATCGAAAATGGGCTGAAACGGCGTCCTATGGGGACCATTGTTTGTCCAGAGGATAGTCACGGCCTGAGGATTACATTGGTGCAAGAGAGATTCCAGGAGGATTAGCGGAACATAGGTTAATTGATCGAAGCTGGGCTGAAACGGATTCCTACGTGCACGCTGATTCTTTGTCCAGAGGATAGTCACGGCCTGAGGATTACATTGGTGCAAGAGAAATTCCAGTAGGATTAGCGGAACATAGGTGAATTGATCGAAACTGGTCTGAAACGGATTCCTACGTGCACGCTGATTCTTTGTCCAGAGGATAGTCACGGCCCGAGGATAACATTGGTGCAAGACAACTTACAGGAGGATTGGCGGAACATAGGTGAGTTGATCGAAACTGGCTGAAACGGCGTCCTATGGGGACCATTGTTTGTCCAGAGGATAGTCACGGCCTGAGGATTACATTGGTGCAAGAGAAATTCCAGTAGGATTAGCGGAACATAGGTTAATTGATCGAAACTGGGCTTGAACGGAATCCAACGTGCACGCTGATTCTTTTTCCGGAGGATAGTCACGGCCTGAGGATTACATTGGTGCAGTATAAGTTCCAGTAGGATTAGCGGAACATAGGTGAATTGATCGAAGCTGGGCTGAAACGGATTCCTACGTGCACGCTGATTCTTTGTCCAGAGGATAGTCACGGCCAGAGGATAACATTGGTGCAAATCAACTTCCAGTAGAATTAGCGGAACATAGGTGAGTTGATCGAAACTGGGCTGAAACGACGTCCTATGGTGACCATTGTTTGTCCAGAGGATAGTCACGGCCTGAGGATTACATTGGTGCAAGAGAAATTCCAGTAGGATTAGCGGAACATAGGTGAATTGATCGAAACTGGTCTGAAACGGATTCCTACGTGCACGCTGATTCTTTGTCCAGAGGATAGTCACGGCCTGAGGATTACATTGGTGCAGGTGGAATTCCAGGAGGATTAGCGGAACATAGGTGAATTGATCGAAACTGGGCTGAAACGGCGTCCTATGGGGACCATTGTTTGTCCAGAGGATAGTCACGGTCTGATGATTACATTGGTGCAAGAGAAATTTCAGTAGGATTAGCGGAACATAGGTGAATTAATCGAAAATGGCTGAAACAGCGTCCTATGGGGACCATTGTTTGTCCAGAGGATAGTCACGGCCTGAGGAATACATTGGTGCAAGAGAAATTCCAGTAGGATTAGCGGAACATAGGTGAATTGATCGAAACTGGGCTGAAACGGATTCCTACATGCACGCTGATTCTTTGTCCAGAGGATAGTCACGGCCCGAGGATAACATTGGTGCAAGACAACTTCCAGGAGGATTGGCGGAACATAGGTGAGTTGATCGAAATTGGCTGAAACGGCGTCCTATGGGGACCCTTGTTTGTCCAGAGGATAGTCACGGCCTGAGGATTACATTGGTGCAAGAGAAATTCCAGTAGGATTAGCGGAACATAGGTTAATTGATCGAAACTGGGCTTGAACGGAATCCAACGTGCACGCTGATTCTTTTTCCGGAGGATAGTCACGGCCTGAGGATTACATTGGTGCAGTATAAGTTCCAGTAGGATTAGCGGAACATAGGTGAATTGATCGAAGCTGGGCTGAAACGGATTCCTACGTGCACGCTGATTCTTTGTCCAGAGGATAGTCACGGCCAGAGGATAACATTGGTGCAAATCAACTTCCAGTAGAATTAGCGGAACATAGGTGAGTTGATCGAAACTGGGCTGAAACGACGTCCTATGGGCACCATTGTTTGTCCAGAGGATAGTCACGGCCTGAGGATTACATTGGTGCAAGAGAAATTCCAGTAGGATTAGCGGAACATAGGTGAATTGATCGAAACTGGTCTGAAACGGATTCCTACGTGCACGCTGATTCTTTGTCCAGAGGATAGTCACGGCCTGAGGATTACATTGGTGCAGGTGGAATTCCAGGAGGATTAGCGGAACATAGGTGAATTGATCGAAACTGGGCTGAAACGGCGTCCTATGGGGACCATTGTTTGTCCAGAGGATAGTCACGGCCTGATGATTACATTGGTGCAAGAGAAATTCCAGTAGGATTAGCGGAACATAGGTGAATTAATCGAAAATGGCTGAAACAGCGTCCTATGGGGACCATTGTTTGTCCAGAGGATAGTCACGGCCTGAGGATTACATTGGTGCAAGAGAAATTCCAGTATGATTAGCGGAACATAGGTGAATTGATCGAAACTGGTCTGAAACGGATTCCTACATGCACGCTGATTCTTTGTCCAGAGGATAGTCACGGCCTGAGGATTACATTGGTGCATGATAATTTCCAGTAGGATTAGCGGAACATAGGTGAATTGATCGAAGCTGGGCTGAAACGGATTCCTACGTGCACGCTGATTCTTTGTCCAGCGGATAGTCACGGCCTGAGGATTACATTGGTGCAGGAGAAATTCCAGGAGGATTAGCGGAACATAGGTGAATTGATCGAAACTGGGCTGAAACGGCGTCCTATGGGGACCATTGTTTGTCCAGAGGATAGTCACGGCCTGAGGAATACATTGGTGCAAGAGAAATTCCAGTAGGATTAGCGGAACATAGGTGAATTGATCGAAACTGGTCTGAAACGGATTCCTACGTGCACGCTGATTCTTTGTCCAGAGGATAGTCACGGCCTGAGGATTAAATTGGTGCAAGAGAAATTCCAGGAGGATTAGCGGAACATAGGTGAATTGATCGAAACTGGGCTGAAACGGCGTCCTATGGGGACCATTGTTTGTCCAGAGGATAGTCACGGCCTGATGATTATATTGGTGCAAGAGAAATTCCAGTAGGATTAGCGGAACATAGGTGAATTGATCGAAACTGGTCTGAAACGGATTCCTACGTGCACGCTGATTCTTTGTCCAGAGGATAGTCACGGCCTTAGGATTACATTGGTGCAGGTGGAATTCCAGGAGGATTAGCGGAACATAGGTGAATTGATCGAAACTGGGCTGAAACGGCGTCCTATGGGGACCATTGTTTGTCCAGAGGATAGTCACGGCCTGTTGATTACATTGGTGCAAGAGAAATTCCAGTAGGATTAGCGGAACATAGGTGAATTAATCGAAAATGGCTGAAACAGCGTCCTATGGGGACCATTGTTTGTCCAGAGGATAGTCACGGCCTGAGGATTACATTGGTGCAAGAGAAATTCCAGTAGGATTAGCGGAACATAGGTTAATTGATCGAAACTGGTCTGAAACGGATTCCTACGTGCACGCTGATTCTTTGTCCGGAGGATATTCACGGCCTGAGGATTACATTGGTGCAAGAGAAATTCCAGGAGGATTAGCGGAACATAGGTGAATTGATCGAAGCTGGGCTGAAACGGATTCCTACGTGCACGCTGATTCTTTGTCCAGAGGATAGTCACGGCCCGAGGATAGCATCGGTGCAAATCAACTTCCAGTAGAATTAGCGGAACATAGGTGAGTTGATCGAAACTGGGCTGAAACGACGTCCTATGGGCACCATTGTTTGTCCAGAGGATAGTCACGGCCTGATGATTACATTGGTGCAAGAGAAATTCCAGTAGGATTAGCGGAACATAGGTGAATTGATCGAAACTGGTCTGAAACGGATTCCTACGTGCACGCTGATTCTTTGTCCAGAGGATAGTCACGGCCTGAGGATTACATTGGTGCAAGAGAAATTCCAGTAGGATTAGCGGAACATAGGTGAATTGATCGAAACTGGGCTGAAACGGCGTCCTATGGGGACCATTGTTTGTCCAGAGGATAGTCACGGCCTGATGATTACATTGGTGCAAGAGAAATTCCAGTAGGATTAGCGGAACATAGGTGAATTATTCGGAAATGGCTGAAACAGCGTCCTATGGGGGGGGGGACCATTGTTTGTCCAGAGGATAGTCACGGCCTGAGGATTACATTGGTGCAAGAGAAATTCCAGTAGGAATAGCGGAACATAGGTGAATTGATCGAAACTGGTCTGAAACGGATTCCTACGTGCACGCTGATTCTTTGTCCAGAGGATAGTCACGGCCTGAGGATTACATTGGTGCAAGAGAAATTCCAGTAGGATTAGCGGAACATAGGTGAATTGATCGAAGCTGGGCTGAAACGGATTCCTACGTGCACGCTGATTCTTTGTCCAGCGGATAGTCACGGCCTGAGGATTACATTGGTGCAAGAGAAATTCCAGGAGGATTAGCGGAACATAGGTGAATTGATCGAAACTGGGCTGAAACGGCGTCCTATGGGGACCACTGTTTGTCCAGAGGATAGTCACGGCCTGAGGATTAAATTGGTGCAAGAGAAATTCCAGGAGGATTAGCGGAACATAGGTGAATTGATCGAAACTGGGCTGAAACGGCGTCCTATGGGGACCATTGTTTGTCCAGAGGATAGTCACGGTCTGATGATTACATTGGTGCAAGAGAAATTCCAGGAGGATTAGCGGAACATAGGTGAATTGATCGAAACTGGGCTGAAACGGATTCCTACGTGCACGCTGATTCTTTGTCCAGAGGATAGTCACGGCCTGAGGATAACATTGGTGCAAGACAACGTCCAGTAGGATTAGCGGAACATAGGTGAATTGATCGAAACTGGGCTGAAACGGATTCCTACGTGCACGCTGATTCTTTGTCCAGAGGATAGTCACGGCCTGAGGATTACATTGGTGCAAGAGAAATTCCAGGAGGATTAGCGGAACATAGGTGAATTGATCGAAGCTGGGCTGAAACGGATTTCTACGTGCACGCTGATTCTTTGTCCAGAGGATAGTCACGGCCTGAGGATTACATTGGTGCAAGAGCAATTCCAGTAGGATTAGCGGAACATAGGTGATCTGATCGAAACTGAGCTTAAACGGCGTCCTATGGGGACCATTGTTTGTCCAGAGGATAGTCACGGCCTGAGGATTACATTGGTGCAAGAGAAATTCCAGTAGGATTAGCGGAACATAGGTGAATTGATCGAAACTGGTCTGAAACGGATTCCTACGTGCACGCTGATTCTTTGTCCGGAGGATAGTCACGGCCTGAGGATTACATTGGTGCAAGAGAAATTCCAGGAGGATTAGCGGAACATAGGTGAATTGATCGAAGCTGGGCTGAAACGGATTCCTACGTGCACGCTGATTCTTTGTCCAGAGGATAGTCACGGCCCGAGGATAGCATTGGTGCAAATCAACTTCCAGTAGAATTAGCGGAACATAGGTGAGTTGATCGAAACTGGGCTGAAACGACGTCCTATGGGCACCATTGTTTGTCCAGGGGATAGTCACGGCCTGATGATTACATTGGTGCAAGAGAAATTCCAGTAGGATTAGCGGAACATAGGTGAATTGATCGAAACTGGTCTGAAACGGATTCCTACGTGCACGCTGATTCTTTGTCCAGAGGATAGTCACGGCCTGAGGATTACATTGGTGCAGAGGAAATTCCAGTAGGATTAGCGGAACATAGGTGAATTGATCGAAACTGGGCTTAAACGGCGTCCTATGGGGACCATTGTTTGTCCAGAGGATAGTCACCGCCTGATGATTACATTGGTGCAAGAGAAATTCCAGTAGGATTAGCGGAACATAGGTGAATTAATCGAAAATGGCTGAAACAGCGTCCTATGGGGGGGGACCATTGTTTGTCCAGAGGATAACCACGGCCTGAGGATTACATTGGTGCAAGAGAAATTCCAGTAGGAATAGCGGAACATAGGTGAATTGATCGAAACTGGTCTGAAACGGATTCCTACGTGCACGCTGATTCTTTGTCCAGAGGATAGTCACGGCCTGATGATTACATTGGTGCAAGAGAAATTCCAGTAGGATTAGCGGAACATAGGTGAATTGATCGAAGCTGGGCTGAAACGGATTCCTACGTGCACGCTGATTCTTTGTCCAGCGGATAGTCACGGCCTGAGGATTACATTGGTGCAAGAGAAATTCCAGGAGGATTAGCGGAACATAGGTGAATTGATCGAAACTGGGCTGAAACGGCGTCCTATGCGGACCACTGTTTGTCCAGAGGATAGTCACGGCCTGAGGATTAAATTGGTGCAAGAGAAATTCCAGGAGGATTAGCGGAACATAGGTGAATTGATCGAAACTGGGCTGAAACGGCGTCCTATGGGGACCATTGTTTGTCCAGAGGATAGTCACGGTCTGATGATTACATTGGTGCAAGAGAAATTCCAGGAGGATTAGCGGAACATAGGTGAATTGATCGAAACTGGGCTGAAACGGATTCCTACGTGCACGCTGATTCTTTGTCCAGAGGATAGTCACGGCCTGAGGATAACATTGGTGCAAGAGGAATCCCAGTAGGATTAGCGGAACATAGGTGAATTGATCGAAACTGGGCTGAAACGGATTCCAACGTGCACGCTGATTCTTTGTCCAGAGGATAGTCACGGCCTGAGGATTACATTGGTGCAAGAGAAATTCCAGGAGGATTAGCGGAACATAGGTGAATTGATCGAAGTTGGGCTGAAACGGATTTCTACGTGCACGCTGATTCTTTGTCCAGAGGATAGTCACGGCCCGAGGATAACATTGGTGCAAGCCAACTTCCAGTAGGATTAGCGGAACATAGGTGAGTTGATCGAAACTGGGCTGAAACGGCGTCCTATGGGGACCATTGTTTGTCCAGAGGATAGTCACGGCCTGATGATTACATTGGTGCAAGAGAAATTCCAGTAGGATTAGCGGAACATAGGTGAATTGATCGAAACTGGTCTGAAACGGATTCCTACGTGCACGCTGATTCTTTGTCCAGAGGATAGTCACGGCCTGAGGATTACATTGGTGCAAGAGAAATTCCAGTAGGATTAGCGGAACATAGGTGAATTGCTCGAAAATGGCTGAAACGGCGTCCTATGGGGACCATTGTTTGTCCAGAGGAGAGTCACGGCCTGAGGATTACATTGGTGCAAGAGAAATTCCAGTAGGAATAGCGGAACATAGGTGAATTGATCGAAACTGGCTGAAACGGCGTCCTATGGGGACCATTGTTTGTCCAGAGGAGAGTCACCGCCTGAGGATTACATTGGTGCAAGAAAAATTCCAGTAGGATTAGCGGAACATAGGTGAATTGATCGAAACTGGTCTGAAACGGATTCCTACGTGCACGCTGATTCTTTGTCCAGAGGATAGTCAAGGCCTGAGGATTACATTAGTGCAAGAGAAATTCCAGTAGGATTAGCGGAACATAGGTGAATTGATCGAAACTGGCTGAAACAGCGTCCTATGGTGACCATTGTTTGTCCAGAGGATAGTCACGGCCTGAGGATTACATTGGTGCAAGAGAAATTCCAGTATGATTAGCGGAACATAGGTGAATTGATCGAAACTGGGCTGAAACGGCGTCCTATGGGGACCATTGTTTGTCCAGAGGATAGTCACGGCCTGAGGATTACATTGGTGCAAGAGAAATTCCAGTAGGAATAGCGGAACATAGGTGAATTGATCGAAACTGGGCTGAAACGGCGTCCTATGGGGACCATTGTTTGTCCAGAGAATAGTCACGGCCTGAGAATTACATTGGTGCAAGAGAAATTCCAGTAGGTTTAGCGGAACATAGGTGAGGTGATCGAAACTGGTCTGAAACGGATTCCTACGTGCACGCTGATTCTTTGTCCAGAGGATAGTCACGGCCTGAGGATAACATTGGTGCAAGAGGAATCCCAGTAGGATTAGCGGAACATAGGTGAATTGATCGAAACTGGGCTGAAACGGATTCCTACGTGCACGCTGATTCTTTGTCCAGAGGATAGTCACGGCCTGAGGATTACATTGGTGCAAGAGAAATTCCAGGAGGATTAGCGGAACATAGGTGAATTGATCGAAGTTGGGCTGAAACGGATTTCTACGTGCACGCTGATTCTTTGTCCAGAGGATAGTCACGGCCCGAGGATAACATTGGTGCAAGCCAACTTCCAGTAGGATTAGCGGAACATAGGTGAGTTGATCGAAACTGGGCTGAAACGGCGTCCTATGGGAACCATTGTTTGTCCAGAGGATAGTCACGGCCTGATGATTACATTGGTGCAAGAGAAATTCCAGTAGGATTAGCGGAACATAGGTGAATTGATCGAAACTGGTCTGAAACGGATTCCTACGTGCACGCTGATTCTTTGTCCAGAGGATAGTCACGGCCTGAGGATTACATTGGTGCAAGAGAAATTCCAGTAGGATTAGCGGAACATAGGTGAATTGCTCGAAAATGGCTGAAACGGCGTCCTATGGGGACCATTGTTTGTCCAGAGGAGAGTCACGGCCTGAGGATTACATTGGTGCAAGAGAAATTCCAGTAGGAATAGCGGAACATAGGTGAATTGATCGAAACTGGCTGAAACGGCGTCCTATGGGGACCATTGTTTGTCCAGAGGAGAGTCACCGCCTGAGGATTACATTGGTGCAAGAGAAATTCCAGTAGGATTAGCGGAACATAGGTGAATTGATCGAAACTGGTCTGAAACGGATTCCTACGTGCACGCTGATTCTTTGTCCAGAGGATAGTCAAGGCCTGAGGATTACATTAGTGCAAGAGAAATTCCAGGAGGATTAGCGGAACATAGGTGAATTGATCGAAACTGGCTGAAACAGCGTCCTATGGTGACCATTGTTTGTCCAGAGGATAGTCACGGCCTGAGGATTACATTGGTGCAAGAGAAATTCCAGTAGGATTAGCGGAACATAGGTGAATTGATCGAAACTGGGCTGAAACGGCGTCCTATGGGGACCATTGTTTGTCCAGAGGATAGTCACGGCCTGAGGATTACATTGGTGCAAGAGAAATTCCAGTAGGATTAGCGGAACATAGGTGAATTGATCGAAACTGGGCTGAAACGGCGTCCTATGGGGACCATTGTTTGTCCAGAGAATAGTCACGGCCTGAGAATTACATTGGTGCAAGAGAAATTCCAGTAGGATTAGCGGAACATAGGTGAGGTGATCGAAACTGGTCTGAAACGGATTCCTACGTGCACGCTGATTCTTTGTCCAGCGGATAGTCACGGCCTGAGGATTACATTGGTGCAAGAGCAATTCCAGTATGATTAGCGGAACATAGGTGAATTGATCGAAGCTGGGCTGAAACGGATTTCTACGTGCACGCTGATTCTTTGTCCAGAGGATAGTCACGGCCCGAGGATAACATTGGTGCAAGACAACGTCCAGTAGGATTAGCGGAACATAGGTGAATTGATCGAAACTGGGCTGGAACGGCGTCCTATGTGGACCATTGTTTGTCCAGAGGATAGTCACGGCCTGATGATTACATTGGTGCAAGATAAATTCCAGGAGGATTAGCGGAACATAGGTGAATTGATCGAAACTGGGCTGAAACGGCGTCCTATGGGGACCATTGTTTGTCCAGAGGATAGTCACGGCCTGAGGATTACATTGCTGCAAGAGAAATTCCAGTAGGATTAGCGGAACATAGGTGAATTGATCGAAACTGGTCTGAAACGGATTCCTACGTGCACGCTGATTCTTTGTCCAGAGGATAGTCAAGGCCTGAGGATTACATTAGTGCAAGAGAAATTCCAGGAGGATTAGCGGAACATAGGTGAATTGATCGAAACTGGCTGAAACAGCGTCCTATGGTGACCATTGTTTGTCCAGAGGATAGTCACGGCCTGAGGATTACATTGGTGCAAGAGAAATTCCAGTAGGATTAGCGGAACATAGGTTAATTGATCGAAACTGGTCTGAAACGGATTCCTACGTGAACGCTGATTCTTTGTCAAGAGGATATTCACGGCCTGAGGATTACATTGGTGCAAGACAACTTCCAGTAGGATTAGCGGAACATAGGTGAATTGATCGAAGCTGGGCTGAAACGGATTCCTACGTGCACGCTGATTCTTTGTCCAGAGGATAGTCACGGCCTGAGGATTACATTGGTGCAAGAGCAATTCCAGTAGGATTAGCGGAACATAGGTGAATTGATCGAAGCTGGGCTGAAACGGATTCCTACGAGCACGCTGATTCTTTGTCCAGAGGATAGTCACGGCCTGAGGATTACATTGGTGCAAGAGAAATTCCAGTAGGATTAGCGGAACATAGGTGAATTGATCGAAACTGGGCTGAAACGGATTCCTTCGTGCACGCTGATTCTTTGTCCAGAGGATAGTCACGGCCTGAGGATTACATTGGTGCAAGAGCAATTCCAGTAGGATTAGCGGAACATAGGTGAATTGATCGAAGCTGGGCTGAAACGGATTCCTACGAGCACGCTGATTCTTTGTCCAGAGGATAGTCACGGCCCGAGGATTACATTGGTGCAAGAGAAATTCCAGTAGGATTAGCGGAACATAGGTGAATTGATCGAAACTGGGCTGAAACGGATTCCTACGTGCACGCTGATTCTTTGTCCAGAGGATAGTCACGGCCTGAGGATTACATTGGTGCAAGAGAAATTCCAGTAGGAATAGCGGAACATAGGTGAATTGATCGAAACTGGGCTGAAACGGCGTCCTATATGGACCATTGTTTGTCCAGAGGATAGTCACCGCCTAAGGATTACATTGGTGCAAGAGAAATTCCAGTAGGATTAGCGGAACATAGGTGAATTGATCGAAACTGGCTGAAACGGCGTCCTATGGGGACCATTGTTTGTCCAGAGGATAGTCACGGCCTTAGGATTACATTGGTGCATGATAATTTCCAGTAGGATTAGCGGAACATAGGTGAATTGATCGAAGCTGGGCTGAAACGGATTCCTACGTGCACGCTGATTCTTTGTCCAGAGGATAGTCACGGCCTGAGGATTACATTGGTGCAAGAGAAATTCCAGGAGGATTAGCGGAACATAGGTGAGTTGATCGAAACTGGCTGAAACAGCGTCCTATGGTGACCATTGTTTGTCCAGAGGATAGTCACGGCCTGATGATTACATTGGTGCAAGAGAAATTCCAAGAGGATTAGCGGAACATAGGTGAATTGATCGAAACTGGGCTGAAACGGCGTCCTATGGGGACCATTGTTTGTCCAGAGGATAGTCACCGCCTGAGGATTACATTGGTGCAAGAGAAATTCCAGTAGGATTAGCGGAACATAGGTGAATTGATCGAAACTGGGCTGAAACGGCGTCCTATGGGGACCATTGTTTGTCCAGAGAATAGTCACGGCCTGAGAATTACATTGGTGCAAGAGAAATTCCAGTACGATTAGCGGAACTTAGGTGAGGTGATCGAAACTGGGCTGAAACGGATTCCTACGTGCACGCTGATTCTTTGTCCAGAGGATAGTCACGGCCTGAGGACTACATTGGTGCAAGAGCAATTCCAGTAGGATTAGCGGAACATAGGTGAATTGATCGAAGCTGGGCTGAAACGGATTCCTACGTGCACGCTGATTCTTTGTCCAGAGGATAGTCACGGCCCGAGGATTACATTGGTGCAAGAGAAATTCCAGTAGGATTAGCGGAACATAGGTGAATTGATCGAAACTGGGCTGAAACGGCGTCCTATGGGGACCATTGTTTGTCCAGAGGATAGTCACGGCCTGAGGATTACATTGGTGCAAGAGAAATTCCAGTAGGAATAGCGGAACATAGGTGAATTGATCGAAACTGGGCTGAAACGGCGTCCTATATGGACCATTGTTTGTCCAGAGGATAGTCACCGCCTAAGGATTACATTGGTGCAAGAGAAATTCCAGGAGGATTAGCGGAACATAGGTGAATTGATCGAAACTGGCTGAAACGGCGTCCTATGGGGGAGGGACCATTGTTTGTCCAGAGGATAGTCACGGCCTTAGGATTACATTGGTGCATGATAATTTCCAGTAGGATTAGCGGAACATAGGTGAATTGATCGAAGCTGGGCTGAAACGGATTCCTACGTGCACGCTGATTCTTTGTCCAGAGGATAGTCACGGCCTGAGGATTACATTGGTGCAAGAGAAATTCCAGGAGGATTAGCGGAACATAGGTGAGTTGATCGAAACTGGCTGAAACAGCGTCCTATGGTGACCATTGTTTGTCCAGAGGATAGTCACGGCCTGATGATTACATTGGTGCAAGAGAAATTCCAGGAGGATTAGCGGAACATAGGTGAATTGATCGAAACTGGGCTGAAACGGCGTCCTATGGGGACCATTGTTTGTCCAGAGGATAGTCACGGCCTGAGGATTACATTGGTGCAAGAGAAATTCCAGTAGGATTAGCGGAACATAGGTGAATTGATCGAAACTGGGCTGAAACGGCGTCCTATGGGGACCATTGTTTGTCCAGAGAATAGTCACGGCCTGAGAATTACATTGGTGCAAGAGAAATTCCAGTACGATTAGCGGAACATAGGTGAGGTGATCGAAACTGGGCTGAAACGGATTCCTACGTGCACGCTGATTCTTTGTCCAGAGGATAGTCACGGCCTGAGGACTACATTGGTGCAAGAGCAATTCCAGTAGGATTAGCGGAACATAGGTGAATTGATCGAAGCTGGGCTGAAACGGATTCCTACGTGCACGCTGATTCTTTGTCCAGAGGATAGTCACGGCCCGAGGATTACATTGGTGCAAGAGAAATTCCAGTAGGATTAGCGGAACATAGGTGAATTGATCGAAACTGGGCTGAAACGGCGTCCTATGGGGACCATTGTTTGTCCAGAGGATAGTCACGGCCTGAGGATTACATTGGTGCAAGAGAAATTCCAGTAGGATTAGCGGAACATAGGTGAATTGATCGAAACTGGCTGAAACGTTCTCCTATGGGGACCATTGTTTGTCCAGAGGATAGTCACGGCCTGAGGATTACATTGGTGCAAGACAACTTCCAGTAGGATTAGCGGAGCATAGATGAATTGATCGAAGCTGGGCTGAAACGGATTCCTACGTGCACGCTGATTCTTTGTCCAGAGGATAGTCACGGCCTGAGGATTACATTGGTGCAAGAGCAATTCCAGTAGGATTAGCGGAACATAGGTGAATTGATCGAAGCTGGGCTGAAACGGATTCCTACGAGCACGCTGATTCTTTGTCCAGAGGACAGTCACGGCCCGAGGATTACATTGGTGCAAGAGAAATTCCAGTAGGAATAGCGGAACATAGGTGAATTGATCGAAACTGGGCTTAAACGGCGTCCTATGGGGACCATTGTTTGTCCAGAGGATAGTCACCGCCTAAGGATTACATTGGTGCAAGAGAAATTCCAGTAGGAATAGCGGAACATAGGTGAATTGATCGAAACTGGCTGAAACGGCGTCCTATGTGGACCATTGTTTGTCCAGAGGATAGTCACGGCCTGAGGATTACATTGGTGCAAGAGAAATTCCAGTAGGATTAGCGGAACATAGGTGAATTGATCGAAACTGGTCTGAAACGGCTTCCAACGTGCACGCTGATTATTTGTCCAGAGGATAGTCACGGCCTGAGGATTAAATTGGTGCATGATAATTTCCAGTAGGATTAGCGGAACAAAGGTTAATTGATCGAAGCTGGGCTGAAACGGATTCCTTCGTGCACGCTGATTCTTTGTCCAGAGTATAGCCAACGCCTGAGGATTACATTAGTGCAAGAGAAATTCCAGGAGGATTAGCGGAACATAGGTGAGTTGATCGAAACTGGGCTGAAACGGATTCCTATGGGGACCATTGTTTGTCCAGAGAATAGTCACGGCCTGATGATTACATTGGTGCAAGAGAAATTCCAGTAGGATTAGCGGAACATAGGTGAATTGATCGAAACTGGGCTGAAACGGCGTCCTATGGGGACCATTGTTTGTCCAGAGGATAGTCACGGCCTGAGGATTACAATGGTGCAAGAGAAATTCCAGTAGGATTAGCGGAACATAGGTGAATTGATCGAAACTGGCTGAAACGGCGTCCTATGGGGGGAGGGACCATTGTTTGTCCAGAGGATAACCACGGCCTGAGGATTACATTGGTGCATGAGGAATTCCAGTAGGATTAGCGGAACATAGGTGAGGTGATCGAAACTGGTCTGAAACGGATTCCTACGTGCACGCTGATTCTTTGTCCAGAGGATAGTCACGGCCTGAGGATTACATTGGTGCAAGAGAAATTCCAGGAGGATTAGCGGAACATAGGTGAATTGGTCGAAGCTGGGCTGAAACGGATTCCTACGTGCACGCTGATTCTTTGTCCAGAGGATAGTCGCGGCCCGAGGATTACATTGGTGCAAGAGCAATTCCAGTAGGATTAGCGGAACATAGGTGAATTGATCGAAACTGGGCTGAAACGGCGTCCTATGGGGACTATTGTTTGTCCAGAGGATAGTCACGGCCTGATGATTACATTGGTGCAAGGGAAATTCCAGGAGAATTAGCGGAACATAGGTGAATTGATCGAAACTGGGCTGAAACGGATTCCTACGTGCACGCTGATTCTTTGTCCAGAGGATAGTCACGGCCTTAGGATTACATTGGTGCAGGTGAACTTCCAGTAGGATTAGCGGAACATAGGTGAATTGATCGAAACTGGGCTGAAACGGCGTCCTATGGGGACCATTGTTTGTCCAGAGGATAGTCACGGCCTAAGGATTACATTGGTGCAAGAGAAATTCCAGGAGGATTAGCGGAACATAGGTGAATTGATCGAAACTGGCTGAAACGGCGTCCTATGGGGGAGGGACCATTGTTTGTCCAGAGGATAGTCACGGCCTGAGGATTTCATTGGTGCAAGAGAAATTCCAGGAGAATTAGCGGAACATAGGTGAATTGATCGAAACTGGTCTGAAACGGATTCCTACGTGCACGCTGATTCTTTGTCCAGAGGATAGTCACGGCCTTAGGATTACATTGGTGCAAGAGAAATTCCAGTAGGATTAGCGGAACATAGGTGAATTGATCGAAGCTGGGCTGGAACGGATTCCTACGTGCACGCTGATTCTTTGTCCAGAGGATAGTCACGGCCTGAGGATTACATTGGTGCAACAGAAATTGCAGGAGGATTAGCGGAACATAGGTGAGTTGATCGAAACTGGGCTGAAACGGATTCCTATGGGGACCAATCTTTGTCCGGAGAATAGTCACGGCCTGATGATTACATTGGTGCAAGAGAAATTCCAGTAGGATTAGCGGAACACAGGTGAATCGATCGAAACTGGGCTGAAACGGCGTCCTATGGGGACCATTGTTTGTCCAGAGGATAGTCACCGCCTGAGGATTACATTGGTGCAAGAGAAATTCCAGTAGGATTAGCGGAACATAGGTGAATTGATCGAAACTGGCTGAAACAGCGTCCTATGGGGACCATTGATTGTCCAGAGGATAGTCACGGCCTGATGATTACATCGGTGCAAGAGAAATTCCAGGAGGATTAGCGGAACATAGGTGAATTGATCGAAACAGGTCTGAAACGGATTCCTACGTGCACGCTGATTCTTTGTCCAGAGGATAGTCACGGCCTTAGGATTACATTGGTGCATGATAATTTTCAGTAGGATTAGCGGAACATAGGTGAATTGATCGAAGCTGGGCTGGAACGGATTCCTACGTGCACGCTGATTCTTTGTCCAGAGGATAGTCACGGCCTGAGGATTACATTGGTGCAAGAGAAATTCCAGGAGGATTAGCGGAACATAGGTGAGTTGATCGAAACTGGGCTGAAACGGATTCCTATGTGGACCATTGTTTGTCCAGAGAATAGTCACGGTCTGATGATTACATTGGTGCAAGAGAAATTCCCGTAGGATTAGCGGAACATAGGTGAATTGATCGAAACTGGGCTGAAACGGCGTCCTATGGGGACCATTGTTTGTCCAGAGGATAGTCAAGGCCTGAGGATTACATTGGTGCAAGAGAAATTCCAGTAGGATTAGCGGAACATAGGTGAATTGATCGAAACTGGCTGAAACGGCGTCCTATGGGGACCATTGTTTGTCCAGAGAATAGTCACGGCCTGAAGATTACATTGGTGCAAGAGAAATTCCAGTAGGATTAGCGGAACATAGGTGAATTGATCGAAACTGGTCTGAAACGGATTCCTACGTGCACGCTGATTCTTTGTCCAGAGGATAGTCACGGCCTGAGGATTACATTGGTGCAAGACAACTTCCATTAGGATAAGCGGAACATAGGTGAATTGATCGAAGCTGGTCTGAAACGGATTCCTACGTGCACGCTGATTCTTTGTCCAGAGGATAGTCACGGCCCGAGGATAACATTGGTGCAAGAGAAATTCCAGTAGGATTAGCGGAACATAGGTGAATTGATCGAAACTGGGCTTAAACGGCGTCCTATTGGGGGGGGGGACCATTGTTTGTCCAGAGGATAGTCACGGCCTGATGATTACATTGGTGCAAGAGAAATTCCAGTAGGATTAGCGGAACATAGGTGAATTGATCGTAACTGGGCTGAAACGGATTCCTACGTGCACGCTGATTCTTTGTCCAGAGGATAGTCACGGCCTTAGGATTACATTGGTGCAAGATAAATTCAAGTAGGATTAGCGGAACATAGGTGAATTGATCGTAACTGGGCTGAAACGGATTCCACCTGCAAGCTGACTATTTGTTCAGAGGATATTCACGGCCTGATGATTACATTGTTGAAGATAAATTCCAGTAGGATTAGCGGAACATAGGTGAATTGATCGAAGCTGGGCTGAAACGGATTCCTACGTGCACGCTGATTCCTTGTCCAGAGGATAGTCACGGCCTGAGGATTACATTGGTGCAAGTGAATTTCCAGTAGGATTAGCGGAACATAGGTGAATTGATCGAAACTGGGTTTAAACGGCGTCCTATTGGGAGGGGGACAGTTGTTTGTCCAGAGGATAGTCACGGCCTGATGATTACATTGGTTCAAAAGAAATTCCTGTGGGATTAGCGGAACATAGGTGAATTGATCGTAACTGGGCTGAAACGGATTCCTACGTGAACGCTGATTCTTTGTCCGGAGGATAGTCACGGCCTTAGGATTACATTGGTGCAAGAGAATTTCCAGTATGATTAGCGGAACATAGGTGAATTGATCGAAACTGGGCTTAAACGGCGTCCTATGAGGACCATTGTTTGTCCAGAGGATAGTCACGGCCTGAAGATTACATTGGTGCAGGTGAAATTCCAGTAGGATTAGCGGAACATAGGTGAATTGATCGTAATTGGGCTGAAAAGGATTCTTCCGTGCACGCTGATTCTTTGTCCAGAGGATAGTCACGGCCCGAGGATAACATTGGTGCAAGCGAAATTCCAGTAGGATTAGCGAAACATAGGTGAATTGATCGAAACTGGGCTGAAACGGCGTCCTATGGGGACCAATGTTTGTCCAGAGGATAGTCACCTCCTGATGATTACATTCGTGCAAGAGAAATTCCAGTAGGATTAGCGGAACATAGGTGAATTGATCGTAATTGGGCTGAAACGGATTCCTACGTGCACGCTGATTCTTTGTCCAGAGGATAGTCACGGCCTTAGGATTACATTGGTGCAAGAGAAATTCCAGTAGGATTAGCGGAACATAGGTGAATTGATCGAAACTGGGCTGAAACGGATTCCCACCTGCAAGCTGACTATTTGTTCAGAGGATAGTCACGGCCTGATGATTACATTGGTGAAGATAAATTCCAGTAGGATTAGCGGAACATAGGTGAATTGATCGAAGCTGGGCTGAAACGGATTCCTACGTGCACGCTGATTCTTTGTCCAGAGGATAGTCACGGCCTGAGGATTACATCGGTGCAAGAGAAATTCCAGTAGGATAAGCGGAACATAGGTGAATTGATCGAAACTTGGTTTAAACGGCGTCCTATTGGGAGAGGGACAGTTGTTTGTCCAGAGGATAGTCACGGCCTGAGGATTACATTGGTTCAATAGAAATTCCAGTAGGATTAGCGGAACATAGGTGAATTGATCGAAACAGGGCTTAAACGGCGTCCTATGGAGGGGATGGGGACCATTGTTTGTGCAGAGGATAGTCACGGCCTGAGGATTACGTTGGTGCAAGAGAAATTCCAGGAGAATTAGCGGAACATAGGTGAATTGATCGAAACTGCGCTTAACCGGTGTCCTATGGGGACCATTGTTTGTCCAGAGGATAGTCACGGCCTGAGGATAACATTGGTGCAAGAGAAGTTCCAGTAGGATTAGCGGAACATAGGTGGATTGATCGAAACTGGGCTTAAACGGCGTCCTATGGGGACCACTGTTTGTCGAGAGGATAGTCACGGCCTGAGAATTACATTGGTGCAAGAGAAATTCCAGTAGGATTAGCGGAACATAGGTGAATTGATCGAAACTGCGCATAACCGGTGTCCTATGGGGACCATTGTTTGTCCAGAGGATAGTCACGGCCTGAGGATTACATTGGTGCAGGTGAAATTCCAGTAGGATTAGCGGAACATAGGTGAATTGATCGAAACTGGGCTGAAACGGCCTCCTATAGGTGAGGACCATTGTTTGTCCAGAGGATAGTCACGGCCTGAGGATTACATTGGTGCAAGAGAAATTCCAGTAGGAATAGCGGAACATAGGTGAATTGATCGAAACTGGGCTTAAACGGCGTCCTATGGGGGGGGGGGACCATTGTCTGTCCAGAGGATAGTCACGGCCTGAGGATTACATTGGTGCAAGATAAATTCCAGTAGGATTAGCGGAACATAGGTGAATTGATCGAAACTGGTCTGAAACGGATTCCTACGTGCACGCTGATTCTTTGTCCAGAGGATTGTCACGGCCTGATGATTACATTGGTGCAGGTGAAATTCCAGGAGGATTAGCGGAACATAGGTGAATTGATCGAAGCTGGGCTGAAACGGATTCCTACGTGCACGCTGATTCTTTGTCCAGAGGATAGTCACGGCCTGAGGATTACATTGGTGCAAGAGAAATTCCAGTAGGATTAGCGGAACATAGGTGAATTTATCGAAACTGGCTGAAACAGCGTCCTATGGGGACCATTGTTTGTCCAGACGATAGTCACGGCCTGATGATTACATTGGTGCAAGAGAAATTCCAGGAGGATTAGCGGAACATAGGTGAATTGATCGAAACTGGTCTGAAACGGATTCCTACGTGCACGCTGATTCTTTGGCCAGAGGATAGTCACGGCCTTAGGATTACATTGGTGCAAGATGAATTCCAGTAGGATTAGCGGAACATAGGTGAATTGATCGAAGCTGGGCTGAAACGGATTCCTACGTGCACGCTGATTCTTTGTCCGGAGGATAGTCACGGCCTGAGGATTACATTGGTGCAAGAGAAATTCCAGTAGGATTAGCGGAACATAGGTGGATTGATCGAAACTGGGCTGAAACGGCGTCCTATGAGGGGGGAACCATTGTTTGTCCAGAGGATAGTCACGGCCTGAGGATTACATTGGTGCAAGAGAAATTCCAGTAGGAATAGCGGAACATAGGTGAATTGATCGAAACTGGTCTGAAACGGATTCCTACGTGCACGCTGATTCTTTGTCCAGAGGATAGTCACGGCCTGAGGATTACATTGGTGCAAGAGAAATTCCAGTAGGATTAGCGGAACATAGGTGAATTGATCGAAACTGGGCTTAAACGGCGTCCTATGGGGGAAGGACCACTGTTAGTCCAGAGGATAGTCACCGCCTGAGGATTACATTGGTGCAGGAGAAATTCCAGTAGGATTAGCGGAACATAGGTGAATTGATCGAAACAGGGCTAAAACGGCGTCCTATGGGGACCATTGTTTGTCCAGAGGATAGTCACGGCCTGAGGATTACATTGGTGCAAGAGAAATTCCAGTAGGAAAAGCGGAACATAGGTGAATTGATCGAAACTGGCTGAAACAGCGTCCTATGGGGACCATTGTTTGTCCAGAGGATAGTCACGGCCTGAGGATTACATTGGTGCAAGAGAAATTCCAGGAGGATTAGCGGAACATAGGTGAATTGATCGAAACTGGTCTGAAACGGATTCCTACGTGCACGCTGATTCTTTGTCCAGAGGATAGTCACGGCCTGAGGATTACATTGGTGCAAGAGAAATTCCAGTAGGATTAGCGGAACATAGGTGAATTGATCGAAACTGGGCTTAAACGGCGTCCTATGGGGGAGTGACCATTGTTTGTCCAGAGGATAGTCACGGCCTGAGGATTACATTGGTGCAAGAGAAATTCCAGTAGGATTAGCGGAACATAGGTGAATTGATCGAAACTGGGCTTAAACGGCGTCCTATGGGGACCATTGTTTGTCCAGAGGATAGTCACGGCCTGAGGATTACATTGGTGCAAGAGAAATTCCAGTGGGATTAGCAGAACATAGGTGAATTGATCGAAACTGGGCTAAAACGGCGTCCTATGGGGACCATTGATTGTCCATAGGATAGTCACGGCCTTAGGATTACATTGGTGCAAGAGAAATTCCAGAAGGATTAGCGGAACATAGGTGAATTGATCGAAGCTGGGCTGAAAGGGATTCCTACGTGCACGCTGATTCTTTGTCCAGAGGATAGTCACGGCCTGAGGATAACATTGGTGCAAGAGCAATTCCAGGAGGATTAGCGGAACATAGGTGAATTGATCGAAACTGGGCTTAAACGGCCTCCTATGGGGACCATTGTTTGTCCAGAGGATAGTCACGGCCTGAGGATTACATTGGTGCAAGAGAAATTCCAGGAGGATTAGCGGAACATAGGTGAATTGATCGAAACTGGTCTGAAACGGATTCCTACGTGCACGCTGATTCTTTGTCCAGAGGATAGTCACGGCCTTAGTAATACATTGGTGCATGATAATTTTCAGTAGGATCAGCGGAACATAGGTGAATTAATCGAAGCTGGGCTGGAACGGATTCCTACGTGCACGCTGATTCTTTGTCCAGAGGATAGTCACGGCCTGAGGATTACATTGGTGCAAGAGAAATTGCAGGATGATTAGCGGAACATAGGTGAGTTGATGGAAACTGGGCTTAAACGGCGTCCTATGGGGACCATTGTTTGTCCAGAGGATAGTCACGGCCTGAGGATTACATTGGTGCAAGAGAAATTCCAGTAGGATTAGCGGAACATAGGTGAATTGATCGAAACTGGGCTGAAACGGCGTCCTATGTGGACCATTGTTTGTCCAGAGAATAGTCACGGCCTGATGATTACATTGGTGCAAGAGAAATTCCAGTAGGATCAGCGGAACATAGGTGAATTAATCGAAACTGGGCTGAAACGGATTCCTACGTGCACGCTGACTATTTTTCAGAAGATATTCACGGCCTGATGATTATATTGGTGCAAAAGGAATTCCAGTAGGATTAGCGGAACATAGGTGAATTGATCGAAGCTGGGCTGAAACGGATTCCTACGTGCACGCTGATTCTTTGTCCAGAGGATAGTCACGGCCTGAGGATAACATTGGTGCAGAAGAAATTCCAGTAGGATTAGCGGAACATAGGTAAGTTGATCGAAACTGGTCTGAAACGGCGTCCTATGTGGACCATTGTTTGTCCAGAGGATAGTCACGGCCTGAGGATTACATTGGTGCAAGAGCAATTCCAGTAGGATCAGCGGAACATAGGTGAATTGATCGAAACTGGGCTGAAACGGATTCCCACCTGCACGCTGGTTCTTTGAGCAGAGGATAGTCACGGCCTGAGGATTACATTGGTGCAAGAGAAATTTCAGTAGGATTAGCGGAACATAGCTGAATTGATCGAAACTGGGTTTAAACGGCGTCCTATGGAGGGGGGTGGACCATTGTTTGTCCAGAGGATAGTCACGGCCTGAGGATTACATTGGTGCAAGAGAAATTCCAGTAGGATTAGCGGAACATAGGTGAATTGATCGAAACTGGTCTGAAACGGATTCCTACGTGCACGCTGATTCTTTGTCCGGAGGATAGTCACCGCCTGAGGATAAGAATGGTGGAAGAGAAATTCCAGTAGGATTAGCGGAACATAGGTGAATTGATCGAAACTGGGCTGAAACGGCGTCCTATTGGGACCATTGTTTGTCCAGAGGATAGACACGGCCTGAGGATTACATTGGTGCAAGAGAAATTCCAGTAGGATTAGCGGAACATAGGTGAATTGATCGAAACTGCGCTTAACCTGCGTCCTATGGTGAACATTGTTTATCCAGAGAATAGTCACGGCCTGATGATTACATTGGTGCAAGATAAATTCCAGTAGGATTAGCGGAACATAGGTGAGGTGATCGAAACTTGTCTGAAACGGATTCCTACGTGCACGCTGATTCTTTGTCCAGAGGATAGTCACGACCTGAGGATAACATTGGTGCAAGAGACATTCCAGTAGCATTAGCGGAAGATAGGTGAATTGATCGAAACTGGGCTGTAACGGCGTCCTATGTGGGCCCATTGTTTGTCCAGAGGATAGTCACGGCCTGAGGATAACATTGGTGCATGATAATTTCCAGTAGGATTAGCGGAACATAGGTGAATTGATCGAAACTGGTCTGAAACGGATTCCTACGTGCACGCTGATTCTTTGTCCAGAGTATAGTCACGGCCTGAGGATTACATTGGTGCAAGAGAAATTCCAGGAGGATTAGCGGAACATAGGTGAGTTGATCGAAACTGGGCTGAAACGGCGTCCTATGGGGACCATTGTTTGTCCAGAGGATAGTCACGGCCTGATGATTACATTGGTTCAAGTGATATTACAGTAGGATCAGCGGAACATAGGTGAATTGATCGAAACTGGGCTGAAACGGATTCCCACCTGCACGCTGACTATTTGTTCAGAGGATAGTCACGGCCTGATGATTATACTGGTGCAAAAGAAATTCCAGTAGGATTAGCGGAACATAGGTGAATTGATCGAAGCTGGGCTGAAACGGATTCCTACGTGCACGCTGATTCTTTGTCCAGAGGATAGTCACGGCCTGAGGATTACATTGGTGCAAGAGAAATTCCAGTAGGATTAGCGGAACATAGGTGAATTGATCGAAACTGGGCTTAAACGGCGTCCTATGGGGGGAGGGACCATTGTTTGTCCAGAGGATAGTCACGGCCTGAGGATTACATTGGTGCAAGAGAAATTCCAGTAGGATTAGCGGAACATAGGTGAATTGATCGAAACTGGGCTTAAACGGCGTCCTATTGGGGGGGGGACCATTGTTTGTCCAGAGGATAGTCACCGCCTGAGGATTACATTGGTGCAAGAGAAATTCCAGTAGGAATAGCGGAACATAGGTGAATTGATCGAAACTGGCTGAAACGTCGTCCTATTGGGACCATTGTTTGTCCAGAGGATATTCACGGCCTGAGGATTACATTGGTGCAAGAGAAATTCCAGTAGGATTAGCGGAACATAGGTGAATTGATCGAAGCTGGGCTGAAACGGATTCCTACGTGCACGCTGATTCTTTGTCCAGAGGATAGTCACGGCCTGAGGATAACATTAATGCAAGAGAAATTGCAGGATGATTAGCGGAACATAGGTGAATTGATCGAAACTGGGCTTAAACGGCGTC